TAATAAAATCATTATTTAATATTTAAAGAATATTGTTATTGTAACTCCATAAAAATTATTTTCATTCTTTCAATGCAATTATTATTTTCTAGTATTTTTAACTAAAATTCTTGGGTGTAAATCTTAAATCTTTAAAAAAAATAAATTATGAATTTGAATGTTTCTTAAAATTCAATTCTGATAAAGAATTTTATCATCAAATTTTTAAACAATTAAAATTCTTTTGACGAATTTTAATAAAATGTTTAAGAATAATTTCATTTTTTGAGGAATTTTATTAAAATAAATTGTATATTAAGGGGAGGTTCTCATTGCAAAGGCCAAAATAAACACAAACTTTGACAATTTTTTGCAAAGAACGGCTATGACTTAGCGATGTAGTTCTTTTTTCTAAATAAAGATACATTCTTGAACTTTCAAAACATATATTTCATTTTTAAAAAAATGCAAAATGGCGGCCAATATGGCGCATCTAGAAAATAATGTTTTTTTAAATATGGAAAACGGTGGGCATTCTACACTGCGCAATTTTTAGTCTAAAACAACAACTCAAAATTTTTTATAAAGATGACATCCTAAAGAATAGGTTATACCTATAAAATAGTTAAAAAGTTAACAAAATGACAAAATGGCGGACACTTTTAAAAAAAAACTGCGTTTTTGCATTATTTTTCTATATTTGACCTCATGTAAAAATCTCTATTGTTAACAATTTTACCATATTATAGGTATAACCCCAGTAGAATTTAGTTACCTTTAATTAGCCGCAAACCCGAAGTTGATTGACTAAATAGTTTAGACGCTACGATGCCCACCAGTTTGAAAAATCTTGTTTCGAGAAAAACGCGTTTAAAGTTTGAGAAACATTTTTGTGCAATAATTAAATTCTTTCCAATTCTTTGTTCAATTTGCGTATTTGATAAATATCTATAGGTATTTAGGGTCACTCTTTACGATTCTGAGGTCAGATTTGCAAAATTTTTAAAAATCGATTCGATTTGCCTGACATTTGTTATTCAGTGCTCGGGACGCCGGTGAGTTCAAGACTCCATAAGAACGAAAATATTCTTCGGATCAAAAAATCGCTATACACACATATTCTACATATATATAGCTTTCAAAAAATACAATAAAAAAGAAATAAATTTTTTTGATTCCCGCAATGAGAACCTCCCCTTAAAAAGAATTGAAATTCAGCGATGAGTTTTATTATTTATGAAAATACAGAATTATTGCCAAGAAATTTATAAAAAATTTGTAAACAATTGAATTCCTATGAAATTTTTATTATTTATGAAAAATGAAAATAATTAAATATTTGCGTAGAATTATATTAAAATTGTTTTTAAATAATTAAATTCTTTTGAGAAATATTCCTACGGTAGTAAATATTAAAAATCATTGAATTGAGAAGTTTTTGAAAATAATTGAAATTTTGCTAACAATTTTATTATTTATAAAGACAATTGAAATTTTCACGAGAATTTTTTAAAATTTTTTACCATAAATGAATTTCTGCAAAGAATTTTATTACTTTTAAAAATAATTAAATTCTTGAGACAAATTTTATTAATATTTCTTTTTAAATAATTGAATTCTTTGCAGAAATTTTATTGAAATAGTATAGATATTGAAAATATTTCAATTTTGACAAAATATTGAAATTAATTAATTTTCTACGAAGAATATTATTAAAATTATTTCGAAAAAATTGAATTGTTACAAAGAATTTCATTAAAATTTTTGAAAATAATTTAATTCTTTCAAGAAATTTAATTAAAAAATGTATTGAAAATAATTATTAAATTCTAATAAACAAGTTACAGCAAAGCTTTTTAAAATAATTGAATTTCTTTGATGAATTTTAATAAATTTTTTAAGAACAATTAAAATCTTCGAGGAATTTCATTAAAATTGTATTAAAAATATTTGAAATTCTGCGAGTTTATTATTTATACCTATTATACCTATAAAGAATTTTATTATTTATAAAAATAATTGAATTCTTTTGGGAAATTTTATTAAAATAGTAGATATTGAAAATCATTGAGAAAAATATTTGACATTAATTGAAGTTTTGACAAGAATATTAAAATAATTTTGAAATAATTTAATTTGAAAATAATTTGAAAATAATTTTATTATTTACAAAGATAATTGAAATTTTTTTGATAATTCTTTTAAATTTTTGAACCAAAATTCAGAATTTTCTTATGAATTCTAGAAATTGAATATTTTTCCAGTTAATTGCTATACAATTCGTGCATAGAAGGTGAATATTTTTATCCTATGCAAAAGTAGATGATTAAGTACCAGATAAAATGTTTACTTATTCAGATGTATATAAACATTAAATATTCTAGCCTCGAGAAAAGATTAAATTGATCAATTCAACAAAAGAGTATAGAACATTTATTCTTCATACTACATATAAAGTATAAACGAATACCTTGTTAACTGAAGGGCATTATTTCATTTTGATTCTTTCATTTGTAAAATACGGAAAAAGATGTCTTCATTCCCGACACTCGCAAGTAATTTCATTTATTATGATGAGAAATACACTTCCTCCATCAAAATTTATGATGCAGAACAAAGTGCGAGTAAAGTTCCATACGAATAAAAAGAACTGATGAAGGAATGATATATTTTTGTTAGCAATTCCAATGATTGTAAAAAGACTAATTAGTTTAAAAACTTCCTCCCCTAAGCACAACTGACACGTTTCAAACTACAAAATTAGAGAGACTTTTTTACATTATACAAACAAGAAGACTTTTTTTCTTTAATAAAATACACTACTGTGATGATATATTTTCCCTAACAGCTGCCTACATCATATCATGGAGATTAAATCAACAGATTACAGTACACTTTTTCTACTGATGAAACTGAAATTTCTCAAGAAAACGGATATTTCACACGAAAAATTATTGCGTAATGTATAAACTTTACCGAGAGGATTACTATAAGATTTCGTGCACCAGAATAACCTAAATTCGTGCAGATTTAATACAACTTTCTTTATACACATATTTCACATTGATCTATGAACATTAAAGACGGAAACAGTTTCATAACAAATTTTCCGTGACAATTCAAAACAATGCAATGATTTTAAACAGTATCATATTTAAAAAATCTTTTTTTTAATGATTGTCAACCATGTAAAAGATAAATTTTTTTTTAAATTCTTATTGGTTGCCACGGAAATTTAATTTTGTTTTTCCCTCCCCTTTTTCCCGATTTCTAGACAAAAATTTGACATTTTCCCTGACCCTAAAGAGTATTCTGATTCACTTAATAAAATAAATATTTAATCATTATTATTTTTTTATTAGAACTTCTTCAAAATTATTTTCATCATTTCAATTCAATTATTATTTTCTGCAGTTTTTAAATAAATTCTTCTTTAAATCAATTAATTTTAACAATTTTCGACAAAGTTCTTTCAGAATTTTTAAAACCATTTGTTTCCAATTCAATTTTACATGAAATTTTGAATATTCAAAAAATTTTGATTTCAGAACCTACAAAAACCTTTACAAAATTCAATTATTTCTAAAAATTGCAATTATTAATTACTTCTCCAAAATTCATTTATTAACAAAAACTTTAACTGAAATTAATTTTTAATTAACTCAATTTTTATTAGAAAATTCTACTAGCATTCAATTATTTAAATACAAACATAGATAATTTTTCTTAAAATTGAATATTCTTATAGCATAATTTTATCAACAAATTTTTAAATAATTGAATTTTTCGGCCAATTTTAATAAAATTTTTAAGAATAAATAATTAAATTTTCCGAGGAATTCTATTAAAATTGTATTAAAAATAATTGAAATTTTATGATGAATATTATTACTTATGAAAATAATTGAATTATTGCATAAAGCATTTTATTAACAAATTTTTAAACAATTGATTTTTTTCGAAAAAATTTATGTAAATTCTATTTTTAATAATTGAATTCCTGTGAAATTTTCAATATTTTAGAAAATAATTGAATATTCGATACAACTTTGTCAAAATTATTTTTAAATAATTGAAATCTTTTAGGAAATTTAATTATTAAAATAATAGATATAGGTACAAATTATTGAATTAAGAAAATTTTTTTTAAATAATTGAATTTTATTACTTTTGAAAATGATTAAATTTTATTGAAAATTTTTGCTATTCATTTATAAAAATAATTGCAATGTTAACAATTTTTTCTTTTGATTTTTTGAAAATAATTGAATTTCTGCGAAGAATTTTATTATTTTTGAAAATAATTGAATTTTTGTGATGAGTGTTGTTATTTATCAAAATAATTGAATTCTGCAATGAATTTTATACAAATTCCTGAATATAATTGAATTTCGATGAATAATTTTGCTATTTATTAACATAATTAAAATGATGAGAATTTTGTTTCAATTTTTGAAAATAATTTAATTTCTGGAAAGAATTTTAATATTTATTAAGATAGAAAAATTCTTTCAAAGAATTGTGTTAAAATTTTTAAAATTGAAACTAATTTCAAGAGAATTTAAATTAAAATTTTTCACAAAAAATACTTCATTAAATGATTTATAAGTATAATAACTATATGCCAGTTCTTCAATAGAATTATGTTATTTTCAAAATAAATTATTTTCAGAAATAGAAAAAATTAAATGTTTTTTTAGAATTCGCGGTCGTTCGTGGTAATAATTTCATAGTTTATGAGTCAAACAAAAAGACACAAAAATTGAGAATTTTCTTATAAATTTTAAACATTTAATTTTTTCCAGTGCTTTAAATAAAAATCCCTGACTTTTCCCTGACCTGTGGCAACTCTGAAATTATTGTAGAAAATGTTTTCCAAAACCAAGAAAATAATTTTTTTGGGAAACATTTCTAAATATATTGTCTATTGTGAAAAAAGCGTCTATAACGGGATGTTGGAGGTATAAACAGTAGACTGAAGAGAGAAAGGAGAGCGTGTTGTGAAAATATAATAATCTTACCTTAGTTGAAGCGATGTTGGGTCTGCTGCCTCCTATGACGATGGCGTACACTTCGACCTCGTACCACTGGACTCCAGCCTCCCTGTCAAGCACCGCTGCCGTTGATAGAACACCTGTTTTCGTGTCCACGTCGAACAATCTTTCTACCTGAGGTCCACCACTGCCGGCAGTCACATTCGTCACGTAATACTCTAATTCGACATTCGATCTTCTGGTTCGCGCACTCACTCGTAAAATACTCGCACCCGCCGCTTCATTCTCGTAAACACTACCCTCCATTTGACTGTTGTGCTCCCACACCGGTGGGTCGTCATTCTCACCCGGCAGGATCAAAGTTATGTACGTTTCGGAAGATCTCCTCTCGGCCTGCACTGATTCATCAGTGGCGCGCACTCCCACCTGATACCTCGAAGCCCGCTCAAAGCCCTTCAAGGAACTCGGCAATTTCATTGTCAGCAAACCGGAACTCCTGTGAATTCTGAACATATCCGAGTAATTAACACCCTGCCTCAGCAATTCATACGTCACCAATCCATTTGTGCTCGAGTCCAAATCCTTCGCATGCAAATGCGCCACGGCAATTTCTTTTCCGGGTTTATAATTCAAACCACCTTTCAAAGGCAACAATGCAGCTGACATACTCACAAATATCGGGGCATTATCATTCACATCGAGAACAATAACAATGACCAATTTCTCCGCTGAAAGTCTCGCGGAAGGCGGTTGCGCTCTATCGGTCGCAACAACTGTCAATTTGAACGTATCAATTTCCTCTCTGTCGATTGGCAACAGTGTGTGAATCACGCCAGTCGAGGGGTTTATTCCAAAGCGACGCTTTTGATCCTCGGGCTCTTGATAGGCGATTGCGTAACTAACGATACCGTTCTCCCCGGAATCGGGGTCCTCGGCCGTCACTGTATGTATTGGACCGTGAACCGCAACTCCTTCGTGTATTTGACGGACAATTGCGGTATTTGGAAATGCCGGTGGATTGTCATTTGTATCGATGACATTCACTCGCAGTGTCGTCACACTACTCAATCTCGGATGTCCCGCATCACTACACGTAATATTCAATGTATAACTCACCAGATCCTCATAGTCCAATGGCTTTCTCAAGTACAAAGCTCCCGTTAAGGGGTCAATCTGAAAAGTGTCCTTCCTATTTCCCGCAGTTATGGCAAAGGTCAATTCACTATTCGGTCCTAAATCACTGTCAGTCGCTTTAAATCGGAGAAACTCGGTATTTATTGGTGTGGTTTCTGGAACGGAAATCTCGGATTTATTGTCCACGAAGATGGGGGTATTGTCATTTTCGTCGAGAACCTCGACCTGCACTAAAGCACTGGAAGAAAGTCTCATTTCCATACTCGCATCGTGAGCCACTACTGTAAGATGGTAAACGTCTAGTGTCTCCCGATCAAGTGTCTTGGCTAAGGAAATTTGTCCTGTCGCTTCGTCGATCATAAAACGACCCTGTTGATTACCGTCTTCCAGGGAGTAGAAAACGTCTCCGTTCAAACTCTCGTCCGCATCCGAAGTGTAGACTCGTAATAGTTGCATTCCTACGGCCGCACCTTCGCTCACTTGAACCCGGTAGGGCAATCTCAGAAACTTGGGAGTATTGTCATTAACGTCGGTAATGTATACGGTGACCTTAACCCTGTCTCTTAGTCGGTTTAGTCCATTGTCGGTAACAGTAGCCTCGAGGGTGATGTAACTTCCCCCAGTGTTGGCAACCAATTGCTCACGATCGAAAACATGGAGGGACTTAATAAAACCATTTCTTGGGTCAACAGTAAAGTCCTGTTGAGTGGATGGAAGGGAAAATGTTAAATCTGCATTTCGACCAACGTCACGATCTGTTGCCTGCAATTTTCCTACGAACGTATCAGGTGGTTCATTTTCTCGAAGTTGAAACGTGAAATTAGAATTTACAAATTGTGGAGCATTGTCGTTCTCATCGATAATGTGGACAACAACCGGGACAATGGAACTTCTACTCGGATTACCTTGGTCGCTGGCTGTTACCTCGAGAGCGTAGTAATCTTGTTCCTCTCTGTCCAAAGCGTTCTTCACATAGAGTTTGCCATCGGGAAATATTCCAAAGCGACCTTCCGTGTTGCCATCAGTCACACTGTAGAGCACTCTTCCATTAGCACCAATATCAACATCCGATGCGACGAGGGCAAAAAATCGCTCGTTGACGGGAGTGGATTCGGGCAAGGAGGTTTCGTAACTCGTCAACTTGAAAACCGGTGTATGATCATTAACATCCTCGATAGTCACTCGCACCTGCTGCTGGGCAGAAAGGGGTGGATTTCCAGAATCCATTGCTGTTACTTCTAACTGTAATACCGTACCCGGAGGAGATCTCACGGGTCTGTCCAAATAAATTATTCCAGTATTTTCTGCAACTCGAAATTGGTCTCCCGGATTGTATGTCAATGAATATGTGACTCGTGCATTGGCTCCTGCATCTCGATCCTTGGCTCGTGCTAAACAAATTTCTTGACCCACCGCGGCATTTTCTTTTAAGAAAACTTCATCTCTGTCGCCCTTCGGAAATTTCGGGGAATTATCGTTGATATCAAGAACAGTTATATTTACAGCTGTTATACCATGTGCTAATCCCGCTCGAGCAGCAACTTGCAAACTATAATAAGCCACTTGTTCACGATCGAGACAACCAGCTGTTGTAATTAAACCCGAATTTTCATCAATTTTAAAATTTCCCTTCGAATCACCAAAAATAATAGAATACGACACTTTCGAATTGCTGTACTGTGCTATTTGTATACTTCCTACTTCTCTGCCGAAACCCGACGATATTTCGTTGCACTCACCTCTGTCCTCTGTTATACGAAACTCATAGCCGTTGTAAGTATCAAATTCCAAATGCTCGAGATCTTCTTCCCTTAAGATTTCGACAACCGCATTTTTGACTGCGGTTTTGTCTCCAGAATCACTTGCCGATATTGTTAATTCGTAGAGAATTTTGTGAGCGGCTCTCAATGATCCCTGCAAAATAATTTCACCAGTTCTTTCATCGACAACAAAAAGACCTTCGCCTCCGGATTCCAGCGTGTACTTTATTTGAGCATTTTCTCTGGTATCTGCATCGGTCGCCATTACTTTTCCAATAGAAGTTCCTGGTAAAGCGTCTTCTGGCACTGGCATCAGATAAGTTCGTGGATAGAAAACGGGTGCATTGTCATTGACGTCATCTAAAGTTAGAAGCACTGTTGCAGTCGATGACTGCGGTGGATTACCCTGATCTTTTGCAATTACTAAAATTTTATAACTCCCCGTTGTTTCACGATCTAAATTTGTTTTTGTTGTCAACTGACCTGTTAAAGCGTCCAGGGCAAAAGTCTTCGGATGTTCTATTAATATACTGGGATGAAGACTGTAAGCTACACTTCCGTTAGTTCCTTGATCGTTATCGACTGCTGATAAAGTAGCGACTAAACTGTGAGATGGTATATTTTCCGAGAGGTGTACTTCGACGACGCTTTGCGAGAATTTTGGTGCCTCGTCATTCTCGTCTAAAATGGTGACTCGCAAATGAGTTGAAACATATTTTGGATTTGGACCACCATCCCGAGCGGAAACGCGTGATTCCACACTACCTTGTATTTCTCTATCTAAAGTCGCGATCGTAGTGACTAAACCAGTATCTTGATCAATGGCAAACCAGCCTTGTTCGTTACCTGAGTCGAAGTCGTAATAGATTCTTGCATTGAGCCCGGAATCTGCATCGGTTGCGGAAATACTTGCCACAAAACTGCCAATGGGAGATAGTTCTGATAAAACAGCTGAATATTCACTTTGCTGGAATACCGGTTCGTGATCGTTGACGTCGTTAACGTGGATCACGAGATAAGCTGTTGCCGATCGCGGTGGTGTACCTTTATCAGTGGCGACAATGGTCAAGTTATACTTTGGAATTTCCTCTCTATCCAATCGTCCGTTTACCCGAACAATATGAAAGTTTTGTGCATTATGACCGAGTCGAAAATGACCCAATTCATTGCCCGCTCGAATTTCGACGATAGTTTCACCATTGAGTCCCTCGTCATTGTCAATTACGGTAACAGCAGCCACTATTGAATCTTTAATAGCATTTTCATCGACAGTTGCGAAACCCGCGATGGCGGGAAAATAACTGAATCTTATCTCCGGATCGTGATCGTTTGCATCTAATAGGTTCACTGTGACGTAAGTTCGTCCGTCCTGCCTCGGTGAACCATGATCTCGGGCGAAAACCGTTATAACACAACTTTTAGGACAAGTGCTACCCGGTCGAGCAATCGTGCAACTCTGCTGAGGACAATCCAAGGCTTCGGCTGTTGTAATTGTACCCGTTTCAGGGTCTATCGTAAATTGCCTCTCCATATCTGGAAGATAGTACGTCAGCTTCGAATTATCATCGGAATCTTTGTCGGTGGCGTGCACGGTGAGCACCTTGGTTCCAACCGGAGCACTTTCGTTCAGCGCGACAACATAATCGCTTTGTTGAAATACCGGTGGATTGTCATTGACGTCCAATACTGTCACGTTCACTAAAAGGTAACCCAATCGCGGCGGACGTCCTCTGTCCCGGGCACAAACATTTAAAGAATAAAACTCGACCTGCTCTCTATCTAATTTTCCTGTGGTTTCCAAGTGAAGATAGGTCGTCTCCCCGGTTGGATTACCCGTGACAGAAAGCCGAAACTTCCCGTCTGTGTTACCGTCAACGATAAAATAATCGTCAACGACACCATTCTCAGGGGTATCTTTGTCCGAGGCAGCATCCAACAAAAGCTTTGTCCCAGCGGCTGCAGATTCCGAGAAGCTTACAGCGATACTCGACTCGGGAAATTCGGGATTGTTGTCATTGATGTCAAGTACAAGGATCCGCACTTCTATGGGGTAAGTCGGCTGACTCGAGAGCACGACGAGGTCGAATCTGTCACTACCTAGAGATTCCCGATCTAGTACTATCGCTGTTTTAATTTTACCCGTTACTGGATCCAAGGTGAACTCTTGCGGTGGTTCATTAAAACGGTACGTGAAACCGGGCTTCACTGGTATCGTGCCCACCAAAGTCCCTTTTGGTTCTCCCTCCTTCACCTCCAACTGAACCCTCGTATCCACCGCTCTGCTCTGCATAACCAAACCCATATTAGCACCATCCTGGGGCAGCATTGGCGACCTTCGAGGCACCAATCTTGCGACCTTTTGAGGTAGGTTATTCTCCACACTGTCCGCTCGTCCGCCATTTTGGTCCGTCGAGAGTAGGCCCAGGACCAGGGCCAAAATTGCAAATTTACTCAAGGGCATCTCTTGAAACCCTTCGCCCCCCTTTTTTGTCTACAATTCACTATCCCTCCTCCTCCTTCACTCGCGTGTGTAGCATAAGCGTATGCTACCTGTTGCAATTTTTCCTCATTTTCGATTGATCCCTCATTTCACTTTTTTCATTCACGTTAAAAGCACCATTTCATTCCAATTATTTAACGCGAATAAACATTGTATGTTTCCTCGCGTCGAAGCATCTTGAAAATTTTTCTCCACTCTTGTTGCACTTCGTATATGACCAGATCGAATTCGCGATAATCGGCAGAGACCAGACTCTTTATCGCTCTTAAAATTCAAGTAAACACGGCACGAGAATTCTCGGGTAGAGAGGGGGCACTGACCGAGAGCCGCGCCTCGCGAGAAGCGTCTTCAATCCTTCGCTCAAGATGTTGTTCAAGTCTCTTTTCGAACTTCTCAACAGTAGAGCTATTGTTCTCACATGATTCGCCCACCAGTATAAAGAAAGATAAGAATTTTCCAGGTAGGGATATCGCTTCTTCCGCCCTCTGTGTTTTCACAAGCTACCACACGTTACTAAAGGGAGAAAAAAATATACCTCAATATTTAGACTCTCACATCTCAAATTCAATACCAATTCACAATGAAGATAAACTTCATACCGTATGTCATTCCTCTCCGTGTATTCTATCCAATCACATTCGTCGATGATGCACGTCAGGATCAATGTCCCTTCGCCACCTTGCGATGTTGCTAGTCCTTGGGTACCACTTCTATTCCACTTGGACAACTTGTCGAGTGCACAACACAATTTTCAAAGAACACTAATTCACCAAAGTTACAAACAACTGTAACAAGAAAAGAGAAAATAATCTTTATCACAAGATGTGGCACTTGTATCCAATATATAAGGCACAGGGATTATGGTCCAGGACTACAACAAGGTATATTAAAAGAGAAGAAACCGAAAATACCGCACACACAAATAACACACGGCTATATCGATACTCGATTAAAATAATTTCAGGAAAGGTATTCGCGCGTAATATTAAAACAATTATTGTCACGTGAGTCAATTACCAAAAGCATTTAATAGTTGGGCAATTTTTTCTCTCTCTCTCTCTCTCTCTCTCTCTCTCTCTCGCGACACGTGAAAAACGTGGGCTTGTTAAAAAGAGGTGCCTCAACAAAAATCACCTTTCCTGAGGAACGATCCGACTCAACTAACTGTCGGACCAAGCAGCACCAGGTAAGTTGCCAGAGAACATTCTTCCAAGCTGACGCCGTCCCTCTCCAATCCATCGGGCCCAAGGGGCTCTCCTTTCTCACTCTCTCGCCACAACCTGTCTCCCCTCATCTCCCCTTTTGCCCTCGAGGAGCGAGCAATGCGGAATTCAAGATGGCCGTCGTTCAGTTCTGGGCCTGAGAAAGAGAAAGAGAGGGGTCGAGAGAAGGAGGGAGGAGGAAGGTGCCTAGGCCAGAACTCTCTGGTCCAGGCCTGGCGCTGCATCCATCTTTGCTTAGACTATTACCGAGATCAAATCTTCTTCTCTCTCGGTGCTCTTTACTTTTAGTCCGGTTTATCAACCCAACACAGATGATTTCATCAAAAACTATTTTTTCAACACTGCGGGAAAATAGAATTTTTATTTCTTTCTGTTTTCAATCACTATTTCCCGGACGAAAAGAATATTTTGATTCACTCTAGAAAGAATTAGATATACTGACAAAAATGTTCTAATATCTTTATTTGCGAATTTCTTCAATTGTAAAATTATTCGAAAACATCAATTATTTTTTTTTGTATAAGAATATTCTTTCTGTAACTTATTCAAAAAATTTTATGAATAATTGTATTTTTCGAGGAGTTCAATTAAAATTGTATTATAAAAATAATTGAATATGAATAATTTTATTATTTATGAAAATAATTGAAAACCTAAAAGAATTTTAATATTTATAAAAACAATTAAACTATTCCTGTGAATTTATAATACTTATTTATAAAAATAATTGAATGTTTGCACAAAAATTTATCAAACATTTTTTTTTAATTAATTGAATTCATTTGGGAAATTTTATTACAAGAACAGTAGATTTTGAAAACCATTGAATTGAGAAAATTGTTAAAAAATAATTTAATTTCGACGAAGAATTTTGCTATATTTATGAAGATAATTGAAATCTTGAAAGAATTTTTTTTTTAATTTTGAAAATAATTGAATTCTTATATGATGAATATTGTTATTTATGAAAATAATTGAATTTTGTAAAGGTTTTTATTAAAATTCTAGAAAATAATTGAATTCTTATGATGAATATGTTATTATGAATATTGTTATTTATGAAAATAATTTAATTTTGTAAAGAATTTTATTAAAATTCCTGAAAATAATTGAATTTCTGGAAAGTATTTAATTATTTTTAAAAACAATTGAATTTTGTAACGATTTTTATTAAAATTCCTGAAAATAATTGAATTTCTGGGAAGAATTTGATTATTTTTGCAAATAATTGATTTCTTATGACGAAAATTGTTATTTATAAAAATAATTGAATTTTCCTAATTCCAGTTTCATAGTTTATGAGGCGAACAAAAAAGACACAAAAATACAGAATTTTCTTGAGAATTATAAAAATTATTTCTAAAAAATAATTGAATTCTTATGATGAATATTGTTATTTATAAAGATAATTGAATTTCTTGGAAGTATTTTATTATTTTAGATAATAATTGAATTTTGTAAAGATTTTTATTAAAATTCTAGAAAATAATTGAATTTCCACGAAGAATTTTATTATTTTTGAAAATAATAAATTGAATTCTTATGATGAATATTATTGTTATTTATGAAAATAACTGAATTTTTAAAATATTTTTATTTAAATTCTTGAAATTAATTAAATTTCTGGGAATAATTTCGATATTCATTAAAATAATTAAATTCTTTCGTAGATTTGCGTTATAATTTTTGAAATAATATTAAATATATATATTAAAAAATTTATCTAATTTCAAAAAAATTGAAATTAAAATTTTTCTATATTATTAGTTTCACAGAATTATTAATTAAAAATATGAAAAATTCAGATTTTCCAAAGATTTCAATTTGAAAGATTTCCAAAAGTTCAAAATTCCTCTGTAATTCCATTATTTTTAATAATGAATTAAATATATATATATTAAAAAATTAAAATAATTTCAGAAGAATTGGAATTATTAAAATTTTTCAAAAAAACTAAGTTCTTTATCATTTTTAATTAAATTCATTAAAAATTTAAATTTTCTTAAATTTTAAATTGAATTTTTTTGAAATTCATTTATTTATGAAAATTTTAAATCCAACTCTTGTAAAATTCAATTATTTTTACAATTTTCAAGTAAAATTATTCATTAAATAATTTATAAGTAATAATTTTATGAAAGTTAGAATTAGAATTTCTTTATTTTATTCTTTATTCTATGAATTTAATTTTTTTCCAGCACTTTTAATAAAATTCCCTAATTTTTCCCTTACCTGTGACAACCCTGTAAATATTTTTTCAAATTCTAATAATCGACTAAGTTCTTTGCTTAAATTTCAAGGCAAATATATAATTTTTTCTACTTTTAAAAAAGCACTAAAAACATTAATTTTATCAAAATGTTGCGAATATAAACCTCATTTTGCAAAATCGTTTCTATTTTACTGCCTTGAATTATATTTCAATATGCAGTAAACTGAAGTACCTGAAAATAAAATGATAATCAAAATAATGTATCTAGAGAGGTAATTATTAAAAAGAAACTGTCAACTGTTGCGGTGGAATGAAGACATTATCTAATTATCAACGTAAACATTTCTCGAAGAAATTTGCAAGAAAATGTGACTGTTTATGATAAAATCTCTGCTTCCTTTAAAATGACATTAATGAGCAGAAATAAAGTGATGCTTGATTTTAAAGTGAAAAGCCAGTTTGATAATAATTTCCCAAGGAGCGATATAGTTATCCTTATCTCTCAATTCAAGAGTTACAACTCCACTTTCTAAGCGTTTATTAAAAGCAACCAAGTGAGCAATGAAAGAATAATTAATAGATTATCTAATGGTTATAAATATCTCTTCATCCACTAACAATAGAGCGTAATTATTAAATTGGAAATTTATATGTAAAAATAAATGGTAAAAAATGGTAATAAATGATAATAAATAATCAATAAATAATAATAATAATAAACTGTAAACTTTTATCCATAAACTGTAATAAATGAAGAGTTGCAGATAACTCAAAATTTAAATTACACCTCAAGTGTAAATCATATGAATCTCTCTGAAAATCATCTCACATATACAATATAATACAAATGGAATGGAGAATCACATCTAAATAAATGTCGTAAAATTCTTTTTATTGACTTACTAGAGTTGCTGTGATGACAGAAAATTTATATTGTCCATGCTGTTGGTTAAAGATCATTTTCATAAAGCCTGTCATAAGAAGAATAAAGCACAGAGTTCAACATCCTTAATGCACGGAAGAAATAAGAATTGCTATTGCTTGCTCGCACCCTCACATGATTAATATCCATCGTTTCACTGCTTATAGTGTACGTCTTGCATGCGTATGCCATTTATTCCCGATATTAGAAAGAGCACACGACTCAATGTCTTCGGCTCTGACATTTATTTTAACAATAGATTAAAAATATTCCATTCGTCCTTTATAATATATATTATCAATTCAATTGTGAAATTCAAGTTTCTATAAGCCAGCAATTAGACATCCATTGATGCCGCGCCGCGCCGTGTCAAATAGACATTTCACTTTGACAATAACATTTTCATTTAAATGCATTAAGCATTCATGTTGTACTGAGAATTTTAGAATTAATAATAGGCTTCGCACTCGTTCATTTCAAAAAGTATCTAAATAAAGAAGTTAATCAAATAAAAATATAGGAAAACATAACATAAAAGAATAAATATATTAGAAAAATAAAATTAAAATAAATAAGTTAATAAAAAGAATATTATTATTATAAAACATCAAGATATCGATAACTCGGAGTGATTCCTTTTTTCATATTTTATAATAATTAAAGATATTTTTATCATTTCATAATTCAATTATTCTTTTCTACAATTCTTAACTAGAATTCTTCTTAAAATCAATTATTTTTAATAACAATTTTTGAAAAAGTTCTTTGAGAATTTTCAAATCCATTTATTTACAATTATTCAATTTAACGAAAAATTTAGATTATACGGAAATTCTTCAGTTAAATATATAACAAAAACTCCAAATAATTTTTAAAAAAAATTTAATAAACTTTTTCACAAAAATTTAATTCTACAGAATTATTCATAAACAATGTGAAAAATTCAGATTTTCAAATATTTTAATTTGAAACCTTTTTTTGATTAAATTATTTTAGAAATTCATCCCATACCTAATGCTTTTAATATTCAATTATTATATCTGAAATATTAACTGAAATTCATTTTTAAATAAATTTTTATTAGACAATATTCTTCGAGAATTCAATTATTTAAGAACAAAAATAAATAATTTATTGAATAAATAATTGAACGTTTCTTAAAATTCAATTCTTATACATAATTTTATCAACAAATATTTAAATAACTGAATTTTTTCGACAAATTTTAATAACATTTTAAAGAATAATTCAAATCTATTTGTTTACAATTCAATTTTACGAAATTTCGACTATTCAAATTCAAATAATTTCAACAAAAAATTTAATTAAACTTTTTCAAAACAATTAATTTTACAAAATTGTTAATTAAAAGGAAGTACAACAGTTCAGATTTTCAAAGATTTTACTTTGGAACCTTTTGAAAATTCAAATATTTCTAAAAATTCTCTCTATAATGCTTTTAAATTTAATAAGCAATTATTATCTAAAATTTTCACTGAAAATCATTTTTAAATCAATTTAATCAATTTTTATTAGAAAATTTTACGAGAATTCAATTACATATTTAAATACTTTAATAATTTATTAATTAATTGAATTTTTCTTAAAATTCAATTCTCATAAAGAATTTTAATAACAAATTTTTCAATAACTGAATTCTTTCAAAGAATTTTACTAAAATTTGTAAAAATAATTGTATTTTTCGAGGAATTCTATTAAAATTGTATTAAAAATAATTGAAATTCAGCTATGACTTTTATTATTTATCAAAATAATTGAATTGAAAATAATTAATAAATGTTTGTGTAGAATAGTATCCAAATTTTTTTTAAATAATTGAATTCTTTTGGAAAATTTTATTAGTAGATATTAAAAATCCTTGAATTG